TGTTTCTATTGTTAGTGTACTTCATTTTCAGTTGCTGTTAAACCAATGCTTTAACCTGATTCTAAAGGCAACGTGGAGGTGGTGGTTTCTTTAAGCTGGGATATAAAACTGAAGTGGGTGCTAAATATTTGTAGCCATTAAAGATCTCAGGACTCTTTTCATGGGAGTAAATACTTAAGAGAAGCTTTTTAGTTAAGTTTCAACTTGAGTAATTGCATCCTGCCTATTTAGTAGAAGTATAAACATTGTATTTGTTTCTTGTGTATTTTTGTCTTTATATAGTGTTTGTTGTGTTTAAACTAACCATCATACCTCACTCCATGGCAGACAAGTGAACCTTGTGTATATTGGAAATCTGAATGGGATTTGGTGTTACATCAGTATATATATCATTATAATATCATTATTATTTTGTATTCTTTTAAGGAAAACATTTTCTCTGATATTTGCTAGTTTGCTTTACCATTGATTGGCATTATAGGCCACTATGAGATAGCATAATCTTAAGGAATTTGTTTAAAAATATTGTCAGATTTTCATTTAATCTTTCTTCATGTTTTTATCTGTGCATATTTACTAAATATTTTTTTCAAAAAGCTCATACATTGTGTTATTCTTTTGGCAATTCTGTTAAAAGAAAGATCCTCATACAATGTATAAGAAAAACCACGCCCTGATCTTTGCCAATATCATTTGAGTGCCAAACTGTTCCAGAATTTCAGAAACTGTATTCAGAACTGGATAAAAAAAAATACCCAACAAAAACAAATGCAGTATTGCATTATTAAAAGCAATATGTTCCAGTAATATAATTGTTAGCAAAGGCTCTTTCACATATATATGTATATGTATATAAAGAATTTCATACACATGTAGTTCAAATGCCTAGAGAAACCATAAGACTATGCATAATAGTCATTCTTTATGTTATATAAACATTTCATAGTAGAACCTAGAGCCAGCAATCCTAGCTGGTCTTTACCATTAAGATCGGGACTACAAACTATGAGATTGCTTACTTAAGCTCAATTACAGAACTCCTTAAACACCAAGAATCTAGGCTATTCATTCGTAAACAGCTACCAATGCCTCCAAGTATTCTGTAGTAATTTAAGTCAATTCAGCAAATAATTGTTAAGCACCTACTTTGGGCCCAACACTGCAAAATTTTGTGAGATGGCAAAGAAATACCAATCACTTCAATTCATCAAATACTTATTGAATGTCTACTATATGCAAGGCACTACGCTAGGTAGTTAGAAGCGTACAGTGATAAATAAGACATTACTTGCCTTCCAGGAGCTTCCAATCTAGTTGAGGAAGCAGGATATAACACTTATGAAATGTTTATAACTCAGAGCAGATTATGATGACATAACCAAAATGAGTAGTATAGATGGAATGTACAACTGAAGGTAATAGAAAAACCTGAGTAGAGATAGGCCTGGAAGGGTAAAATTTAGATAGATAGATTAGAAGGGGGAGAATAATCAAAGTAAGAGTGGTAAAGAAGCAAAGGGGGCAGCCAGCATTAGCAAAGACACAAAGATAGAAATGAGCATGGTTTTTTCTGGGGATAGTCAGAAAACTAGCTTGATAGGACACAGTCCCCTGGCCTTGAGGAGTTTTAAACAATCAGTTCAACACCTTTAATTCATCTCCATTCACCAGGAAGACCTTCAAACATACTCAGAATTTTCCTACTGAAAAAAAAATTTTTTAACTAAAAAAAAAACCTCACTTGACACTACTGCCTTTTAACCATAGTTTGAATATATCTATTTTGCCACCAAACCCCTACATTCTTTCCCTATCCAAACATCTCATCTGTTGATGACACCACTATCAGCCTAGGCACCTAGGTTGATAACCTCAGTTATCCTACCAGGGATGGGGAACCCGTGGCTTAAAGGCCACATGTGGGTGGGCCTTCTAGATCCTAGGGTGTGGCCTTTTGACTGAGTCCAAGTTTTACAGAACAGATTCTTGTATCAAGGAAATTTGTTCTGTGAAGTTTGGATTCAGTCAAAGGGCCAAACTTGAGGACCTAGAGGGCCACATGTAGCCTCACGGCCACAGGTTCCCCACCCGTCCTAGACTCTTACCTTCTCCTCACTCCTCCTATCCAATCAGTTACCAAGTCCTATCAATTCTTCCGCTACAACATTTCTCACATCTGTCCTATTCTCTCACTTAAACACAATTCCCATACTAATTCAGGCCCTTATTAGTTCTAATCCACACCTTTAAAATAGCCTCTTAATTGGCCTCTTTGCCTCTAATCTCTCCTCTGGTTAATTCATCCTCCATAGAACTTCCAAAATAATCTTCCTGTGGCATGTTTGACCATATCAGTCCTCTGTGCCTTTGAGGTTAAAAAAATTCTTCAACCTGTCTTTTAAAGCTTTTCATGATCTGACGCCAAATTACATTTCCAGCCTTCTTTCACATTACTCTCCTTTGAACACTCTATGACTTAGTAGCTGTTTTTCAAACCCAACATTCCATTTTCTGCCTCAGAAATAATTTCACATGATATTCTTAGGAATCTGATCTTCAAATGGGAGAGATGACACATACATATATAATCACATACACATTCATAGTAGCTGGAAGGAAAATTTAGAGAACACACTAGTAGCTTGGGGAAGGTAGAAGAGGACAGAGTATAAAGGGCTTTAGATAACACAGTATTTAAAATTTGATCCTGGAGGTAATAGGGAGCCACTAGAGTTTACTGAATGGGGGATGGGGGTGGGACCTGGTCAGACCTGTGCTTTTGGGAAGATCAATCTAGAATCAATTCAAATGGAGGCTGGGTTGGAGTGGAAGAAACTTGAGAGAGAATAACCGGAAGACTGTTGAAGTAGTCTGGGTGAGGTAATGAGGGCCTGACCTTGAGTGGCAGTTATGTGAATGAAGAAAAGAGATGTTGTGAAGCTAAAAATCATAGGACAAGATCTGACAACATACTGGATATGTAGGGTGTGAGTGAGGAGTTAAAGATGACATAGAGTTGTGAGCCTGGGTGACTAGGAGAAAAGTTGGGAGGAGGACAGGGCTTAGGGGAAAATTTCTGTTTGGAAAGTTCTCAAACATGCTGAGTTTGAGATGCCCACCAGACATCTGATTTGAAAGGTCAAAAAGGTAGTTTGATGCTGTGTCTGACACTCAGGAGAGAGGTTAGGGCGGGATATATACACACACACACACACACACACACATATATGCACACACATATATACACACACATATACATATACATATACATACATATGTATAAAGGTGTGTATGCTAATCATATGCATAGAGATAATCATTGAACCCATAGGAGCTGATGAGATTACCAAGTGAAATAGTATAATGGGAAAACAGAAGACAGCTAAGGACATAGCCTAGGGGGGATATCCAAAGTTAGTAAGAGAGTTTGAGATGAAGATGTAGCAAAGGAGATTGAGAAGGAACTGTTAGGCAGAAAGAGAACCAGAGGCAGAACAGTGTCATGAAAGCCTGGAAAGGAAAGAGTATACAAAAGACATGGTGATGGACAGTGTCAAAAGCTGTAGTGCTTCTCAGATGGCTACATGAATTCGTATTAAGTTTTAGATTCAAATCACAGCAAGCAAGGAGAGGTCTCAAAACACTGGGAGGTAGGGGAAGTAGATAGTTATAATACCTAAGGCTTCAGCTCTGCTACTGTCCAGTACTTCACCTTAGACAATTCACTTTACTTCTCAAAACCTGGAACAGGTTTGGCTTTAAAAATAGACTAAATTATCCCTAAAGTCCCTTCTCACTCTCAAGATCTATTTTAGCAGTTTGGAAGAAGTAAGGCTTGGGGTAAGAGTTCTGTTTAGGATATTTAATGTCTAGGACCTGAGTGGGGAACCTGCAGTCGCAAGGCCACATGTGGCCCTCTAGATCCTCAAGGGCAGCCGTTTAACTGAATCCAAACTTCACAGAACAAATCCCCTTAATAAAAGGATTTGTTCTGTGAAGTTTGGATTCAGTTAAAGGGCTGCACTCAAGAACCTAGAAGGCCACATGTGGCCTTGAGGCCACGGTTATCCATCCCTGGTCTAGGACCTTAACCAGGACTTTAACTAATATGTAACATAGGATATGTTTAGAACATGAGGCAGCTAGGTAGCACAGAGGATAAGTAAAGTGCTGGGTCTGCAGTAAGAAAAACCTGAGTTCAAATGTGACCTCAGACACCTCTTAAGAAATTTTGAGCAAATCAAGTAACTTCCATTTCCTCACGGCAAAATAAGAACAATAATAGCACCAACCTCCCAGGATTGTTGTGAGGATTAAATGGTAATATTTGTAAAACATTCAGTCGGGTAGTAGGTATTATATGAATGCTGGCTATTATGTTGAGTTTGAGATGCCAAGGTTTACCTCCAGGGGAAACAGATGCACAAAGTGCCCTATCGGATAACAAGACTATATAGTCGGAAAAGAAAATCCCACCTTCTTCGAGACCCTTTCCATGTCCTCCTAGGAGATTACTTCCAATTTGCCCTGTATGTATCTCGTTTATACAAAATTTTTTGCATCTTTTCTGCCCCGTTAGGATGTGATCGCCTTGAAGTCAGGGATGGCCTTTTTTTTTTTACCTTTATTTGTATCCCAGAGCTTAGCATAAGGCCTGGAACGAAGTAAGCACTTAATAAATGCTTACGGAGTGACTGACTGCCAGGAAGAAGCCCCTGAACTCAGTCTCACATGGAAGCTTCTCCCTGGCCCACAGCTCTAACGACAACCCCGGAAGGTTCTCCTTTTCAGTTACGAAGACATCAAAGATTGGCGTAAACCAGGTCAAAGTGGACCCGACGACTGGTCCCCGTAAGCAGCAGACACCGAGTCCCCGAGAAGGGTCTCTGGGCCCACGTCTTTCTCCTAGCGGGAGCAACCCGTTGCCAAGGGAACCGAGCATCCGCTGCGCTTGCGCACTCGGCGTCCCAGCGCGGAGCGCGAGGCTGGGGAGGAGGGCTCCCCCGAGCGGAAGCGGAAGTGGAAGTGGAGGCTCAACCGGCCCGGCGGAGCCTGGGGAGGGAGAGCGAGGTGTAAGTCGTAGACTGGACCCTGGTGCTGTCGCTAGGTAGGGCCATGCCTCCGTGGGTTGGCTCCCCTGCGGTGTTTTCCCTCTTTTGCATGTGGGCCTTCCGTGCATGCGTCTCCCTCCGCCTCCCATGTCTCTGTCAACTTCACGATCTGCCGTGTGCTAATTCCGTCACCAGCCCACCCTTCCCATCTCCCTAAAGACGACCCTCCCCACCTCACCCCTCATAGCCGTGTTGGGGGCCGGGGGAGTATCGGAGAGCCTCATCTCCGACCCCCCTGATCCCCGCCTTTGCCCCGTCACAACGATGTTCTCTTAATACCTCCTTCCTTTCCCCGGCTGTGCCCTTTGACTCCCCCATCTCTGACATGAGATGTCTTGCCTCCTTATCTTAGACCTTGCTCCACCCTCCTGCTGTGTACTATGATCTGTAGCGTTTTGGAATTATTGGAAATTGCAGCCCGTCAGTGAGGTGAAGTGAATTGCCGTCAATGATAGAGCTTGATTTGAACCCAGGTCTTTTACCTGGAAATCTATAGTATCCACCACTTCTGTTCTCTTAACCCCCTTCTTACCACAGCTATACCCCTTGTGTCCTGAGAACATTGCCCTCCCTCCCATAATTGTGTCCTTGAATCATCTCTGATGCTACCACATATGTGTGTCTTTCCCTGTCCAGAACACCTCTTCGTGTCTGTTGTTTGTATGCTATCTATCTCGAAGGGTTATGGTAAGAATCAAATAAAACAATGTAAACTAAGTACTTTGTAAACTATAATGCACCATATAAATGTTAGTTATGATGATAAAGATGATGATTTGTGCTATACCAGAATTATAATTATGTAATTATCTATATTGTAGAACTCCATTATTGTAGAACTTTTTTTCAGTGCCCATATAACTAAAATGGGTAAAGCCAGTGAGATGATAACATTATTATGTTCATGCAGATTGTTGCAGCAGGGTACCAGTTGAAGCAGATTGGAAACCAGACATTTCCTTTTTTTAATTTAATTTTTTTTTCATTTGAACACAAATCTATTTTCTCCCTCATCTCATTTAAAAAGAAAAAGAAAACCCTCATGACAGTCAAGCAAAATAAATTCCCAAATTGACCATGTCCAAAAAAATACTTCTCAGTTTGCACCCTGTGTCTTGTCTATCGGGAGGTAATAATCATGTTTCATCGTAGGTCTAATGGAATTGTGATTGGTCATCGAGTTAATTCAAGTTTTTAAGTCTTTGAAAATTTTCTTTTCAATGGTGTTATTGTATAAATTATTCTCCTGCTCTGCTCACTTTACTTTGACATCAGGTCATTCAGGTCTTCCCAGATTTCTCTGAAACTATCCCCTTCATCACTTTTTATAACACAGTAGTATTCCAGATATTCATATACCAGAATTTGTTTAGCCATCCCCAAATTCTTCTTTCTTCAACCTCTTTGGGGGTACAGACATAGGAGTGGTATTGTTTGGTTTAAAAGCATTCACAGTTTAGTAACTTTTGAGGCGTAGTTCCAAATTCCTTTCCAGAACGTCCAGACCAATCCACAGCTCCACCAGCAGTGTGTTAATGTACCAGTTTTCCTGCAGCCCCTCTATCATTTCTCAGTTCCTTTTTTTGTCAACTTCATTAACCTTATGAGTGTGAAATAGAATCTTCAAGTTGCTTTAATCTATATTCCTCTGATTGTTAGCGATTTGGAGCATTTTTTCATTTAGTTAATAATAGCTTGGATTTCTGACTTTGAGAACAAAACCAGTTATTTTCACAGCTTTTGGCAGTATTATGTTTATCAGGTTGAAAAGTTTAGTCAGTCGACTTATGTGACAGCCACTGTCTGAAGGGGACGCAGGGATTCAAATACAAAAACACAGCCCTTCTCATGGAGCTCACTTTCTAATGGTGGAGACAACACACAAAAATTATGCACATGTGTTATACAGTGTAAATGGGAGGTCATCTCAGAGGGAAGTGAGTTGAGGGAACTCCTTTGCTGGTGAAATAACCTTATTAGCATTGTTTCATTACTGGGTTGCTACCTCCCTCAAGTAAAGATCAGTAAAATGATAGTTTATCAAATAGAAAAAGTCAGTCAACTAGCACTCATTAAGTGCCTACTATGTTCCAAGCACTGGGATTTTAAAGAAAGGCAAAAGTCAGCCCCTTTCCCCAGAGAGCTTACATTTTTCTGGAAACTAGCTTTATATGTTATAATTCATTTTAGTAAGTACATATTTGGTTTAAATTGAAAATGGGACTACCCAAATGTTGGCAGTTTAGTTTTATAGAAGTACAAAAAGCAGAAGTGTAAAATGACTTTTCATTTCATTTCATTTTTATATGCCAGTGTTTTTGTGAAATAATAGGTAAAATATGAGAGGACAACACAAAAATTATGCACATAAAGATGTATACAGTGTAAATGTCAACACCTACTTAAGAATAAACATTTGATAACATAAGTATGTTTTAAAGAACTTTATAACTGAGGGACACTTAGAATCCTCCAATTCTGAGAAGCAATTGTGTGTGTGTGTGAGAGAGAGAGAGAGAGAGAGAGAGAGAGAGAGAGAGAGAGAGATTGTGTGAGCAGCTGAAAATTGTATACTGTCATCAGGGCAGGAACTGGGAAGTTAAAACCAGTTCCTGGTTTTTCCTCTAAGGTGTACTAAGTGTTATAAAAAACATAGAACCTATTTTAATTATAGCCCATTATAATACAGATAATTATAATTGCCTGTGTCTCAGATCATCATCTTTATCATCAAAACTAACCTTGATATAGTGCCTTATGGTTTACAAAGTACTTTGCCACATGATGATATTGGATCCTTATAATGATCGTCCAAGAAAGGTGTACACAGTGTATATGACCGTCTTAGTTTTACAGATGAGGAAACAAACTTAGAGAGGTTAAGTAACAATTTAAGGTTACATAACTAGTAAGTTTCAGAGCCAGGACTCAAACCCGGAATTTTGTGACTCCAAATGTAGATGCTACTGCTGTGTTCCCCAGAACATAAGCACACGTGGTAAAAACTTGTTATATCAATATATTTATTAAGGTGGAGCTTGGACCTTGTAGGATGAGGAGGATTTTGATGCGGAATTGTCAGGGAAGGGCATTCAAAGTGGAGGAAAAGATGTGAATAAAAAATTCAGAGGCAGAAAGGCATGTTAATTTGATCCTCGAACACCAGTATTATGAAGGAGTTCTGTGTAAATTATTTTGAAGGCCTTTGTGTAAAGATAGTAAAACTTTGGTTATCTAGAATCCTAGGTGTATGAGTTGTTCAGGATGACAAAATTTAAGAAACTCAACCATTTCTCGTTTGAAATCTTTCCAAAAGATATCTCTTGTTTTAGTCAAATGTCTTCCATCACTCTCTTCCTTTACTTACTGCCTCTTTTTCTGGCTCTCACCATCTCAAAAAGTGGAGTAGCAGAAGTTGGCCCTTCTGAGTCTTTCAATTTTCACCACCAGGAATGATTCTTCTCCTAGGGCACTCTTGGAGTTGCCTTTGTGGTCTCAGTCCTAAGTTCCAAATCATCCACACCTTTATATACAGAATTATATTGAATGTAATTTGGTTTGTTTTTGGATAATTTCTTACACTTAATTTTTTTATATGTTCTGTATGATACAGCTTCACTACTCTACTTACTATTCTTCAAGCACAATACTCTATTTCTTATCTCTGTGTCTTTTAGTAGCTGTCTCCCATGTCTGCAATGTTCTGTCCCCTTATCTCTGCTGCTTAGTTTCCCTGCTTTTCCTCAAGGTTCAGCTTAAAGCCCACCTTCTGCAAGAGGCCTTTCCCAGTCCTATCAGCTTCAAATGCCATCCCCTTTCATACTTCCTTCCATCTACTTTGTATATAGTTATATACCTAGTTATTTACATGTCTCTCTCATTATGTTTCTTAACTGGTTTGTTTTTTCATTTGGCCTTTCTATATATCCTAGGACTTATTATAGTGTTTGGCACATAATAAGCATTAATAAATGCTTGTTGCATTGACTGAGTCTGTTAAGCATTTGAAAATATAGCTCAGGAGTAAGGTCCAAACTAGAGGTAGAGATCTGGAGTCATGAGCATAAATAAAGGTAATAGCTAAAGCTGTGGGAATGGGAAGGATTGCTGGTGGGCTGGGAGGGGAGGAAGTATAGTGAGAGAATATAATAAGGCCGAGACAGGCAGAACCTTGAGTGACACTAATGTTAAATTTTAGAAAGAGGAAAAGAGCAATTAAAGAGAAAAGCAGAAGTGTTGAGTATCATAAGGTAGAATTAGAGCTGTATGTATTGTCACTAAAGCTAAGAAGGGCTAAAATGAAAAAGGAAGGAGAGTGGCCAGCGTGATCAAATGTTGCAGTGAAGTCAAGGATAGTCAGGACTGAAAAAAAACCTTTGAATTTGGCAGTAAAGTCATTGGTGATCTTTGAGATAGCAGTTTTTGTAGACTGATGAGAATGGAAGACAAATCATTGCAAGAATTTAAGGAGTGGGTGAATAGTAAGAAAGAAATGGAGGTCTTGGATACATATGTGTTTGGCAATGACAGGTAGGGTAGAGGGGAGATGCACCCAAAGGAGTAGAATAATCAAAAGAAGGACTTTTTTTAGGTTTAGGAAGACCTGAACCTAAGGTTGCAAACAGATGAAACAGAACCAGAAGAGAAGAGGTTAAAGCTGAATGGGAGAGGAAGAATGACTATATTAGCAAGGTCATAGAATGGGATCCAGTCCATAGGAGAAAGACCTTGATGAGGAGTGGGATAACCTGAGTTAGATCAGGAAATAAGGTTAAATTTATTATAATTGAAGAGTTGGGGCCTTGGAGGGAGAGAAAAATGTTTTGTTTTACCTTTTAGAGCTAGATAACAACTTTAATTTCAAATTTATTTAGCTATTTTTGTCAACAGAATACAGTCACTATTGTTTTCTGAGATAATGGCAAAATTAATTGAAACACCTTTGTGAAACCATTGGGAGAAACATTTTGATGTAAATATTTGGAAATATTTTTGCCACAATATGAGTTGGATTGTTATGACCAGCAAAGAAAGAAAGAAATATATATGTGTGTGTGTGTATGTATATATATATACACATATGTAAAACATTTTACTTAACTATAAGAGCAATATTCTGGTTATTTTAATCACTAATGAATATATGTGTTTTAATAAAATAAGCACATGCAGTTTTGAGTGTTTCACTGTTTATACCAGTTCTTTCCAACTAGGGCTCATTAGGTCTATTAAGTGCCCATCTTTTCACTTTTACTGTCTGCTCATATACCTGTAGCTCTGCGGGCACCAGTCCACTCTTTAGGTGGTGAATATCTCTAATGCCAGCTTCTAGAATAACTCAGATTGACCATACTATTTTTCTTAAATTCTTCTAAATTACTTTTGTGTCATGTACTCTTTTGGCAGTCTGGTGAAGTCTGTGGACCCTTTCTCAGAATATTGTTTTCTAAATGCATAAAATAAAACAAAATTACAAAAGAAACCACTTATATTGAAACACAGTTGTCAAAAACATTTTTTAATGTTCTCAGCCCTCCCTGAGATATATCTATATATCCCTTGTTAAGAGCTTCTTTTCTAAATAATATATGGAAACTCAAAAAGATTGGCTCATTTTAAACTATTTATGAAATTTTTCTAGATAAGTGTTTCTGAATTGTTTGGTTCTTCTCTAATTAGTTCTCTCATTTTATTCAGGTCACTTAGCCTATCAGGCCTTAGTTTCTTCGTGTCTGAAATGAGAAGATTAATGTAATGATTGAGATCTTAGATGCCGTCTCCAAAATGCTGTGACCTTATGGTTTATTCATGGTTACTCTCTAGCCATCTTTCTAACAGCATCTTTTGATCCTAATGAGTCATAGTTTTCTGGGTTTGGGAGTTTTCCCTCCAAAGATTTCCAGAGTTCTATTCAGTAGTATCCCCCAGGTATCCCTTAAAGGACTGTTTTACTCATGGCACTAAAATTATCTATAAAAAACAAACTGGACCTGTGATTTCATTGGCAAAGGGAACTATTCCTCTACTAATTCAAATCAGTACCTTCTCTGCAATTTATCTTCAAGTTTAAGGTGACAGCTGGAAGTTTAAGAGTTGCCTAGAGTACTGAGAGTTAAATAACTTGTTCAGGGTCACACAGCTTGTACCAGGCAATCAGTAAACATATATTAAGTGCCCACTACATAACCAGGCACTTTGCTAAGTACTAAGCAGAGGCAAAATATAGTTCCGGCCTCAAGGAGCTTACAATCTGAGGGAGCCTATGCATATATGTACAATATGTGTCAGACATGAGACTTTAACTAAAGTCTTTCTGACTCGGAGACAGGTTCCCCACACCTGCACTACACTATCTTGCTTCCCATAGAATTTTTTTCCATGGAATGTTTATTCATTAGAACAGGATAAAATAAACAAGAAACAGTATTTCATTTACTCTGCCACTTGTTAGACGTCAGTCCTCAGCCATTTCTACGGTAACTGCATATACATATGTATACATACATATATATATGTATATATCAGTGGGTGTACATGTATGTACATTGTCATGCCAAATTTACTAGCATGTCTGGCGTATGCAAGAGCAAAGCCCAAGTGGTTTGCCTGTGGTAGTGAAAGGCTTAAAAAAGAGAGCGTATCTTTTTTGGCAGCAGTAATAGCCACGGTTTTTGTCTATCATCTTAAACATTTCATTTCCCACAACATAAAAGTTGGTGTTTGGAAACTGCACTTAAAGGATGAAGGGGGCCAATATTTTTAAAGCTTTGGAGGAGCCCAAATACCCAAAGCCACTCTTTAATGTCCCAAGTTCCCAACCCTTTCCTATCCAAATTTTTCTTTTTAAATGCCACTGTAGAGCACATTGTAATGTAACACTCCCGAAGTAATTTGTGATTCAAAATGTGAGAAATCAGCAGTGTGAAAGACAGGAAAAACTTGTACCTGCTTAATTAAAACATTCAGTGAATTTTTTCACTGGGTTGAGAAAGGAGGAAAACATTTGAATAAAATCAAAGCAAAAGACTGAGCCTGTCTCCTTGCAAAATAAAGAGGAGAATGTTTTCAGAAATTCAGTGTTGTCACTTGCAGTTTTCAGTAGAAAATACTTGAAACAAAAATCCCTTTATTAGTGAAGAAAGGCAGCCAACCCAAATGTGACAGAATCTACAGCCCAAATGAGAGCCAGTGTTTCTCTAAAAGGTGGGAGTGAGTGAGGGTTTTATTTTTGCTCCATCTCCCAAATTTATCTCCACAGTGTTTGTGTTGGCTTCATTTGCATCTTAAGCATCACTGCCAAGTAACTATGGGAGCAGGATAAGCTTCATAGTTATAATAGGGGCCAGATTCCTATGGCTTCATGCTCTGTTTGAGGCCATCCCATTTCCTTGAGAGAGACTCCACATGTTGGAATGGGTAGGAAGCAATAAGAGTCAGAATCCAGATTTGCGAACATTCAACTACTATAACTTTTGTCTATTTATTAGAAATAGATTAAGTTTATGTGATTCGACTCGAGAAACCAGATGACTGTTTTCTGTTCTCACACAGACTAATTCACTTAATAATTTCCTTATGGTCCCTGCATCCCTTCTTAAATGAAAATAACACCTTTCTCAGTTTATATGTGAGGTTATTGTACAATGTAGTACACTTCGATAAAATCTGACATCTTCTTATACTATATTCTGCCACATAGGGAATTTAGTTATACAAGTATGTATGTGTATGTGTGTATAGGTAGATATATACACACATGTATATGTACATATATATGTTAACATGAAACTGTTATGTTGAGATTCTGATATACTTTCAGGTTTTGAAAGAAATATACTAAGTACAAAGTATCATATTGTCATCATTGCTGAGATTTATTACACACTGTTAATGTCAAGAACTTATTCATGCCTTTGCTTATATGTCATGGATAATAGTTAACATTTTCCTTTTGGCACCTTTGCTTAACTCAGTGGCTTATTTAACTGTTAGTTGCTCTTCTTCTTAGGAACTATTAGCATATCAAAACAGTTTTTACTGTACTTAGCAAAGTTATAAAATGTAGCTGGATTTATTCTTTGGTTCCTAAGTATTGTTCTAAAAAACATCTTTTTGATATGATGAGAGCCCCTAAGGGTGACCTAATCCTTAATCAAATAATCATTAGATTGAGAATAAAAATGTTAGTAGTACATTTTCTGATTATTGATGGACCATTATTATCTGATTGAATGTATGTAGTGAATGGTATGCTTAAATTTTTTTCTCAAATGCTGAATTTCAAGTTTTGTTTTGTTTTGTTTTCTAAAATGGAAAAAACAAACAAACAGTGGACTAATTTTCCATATAAGTTAGGTTCTCTTAAACTGTTATTTTATGGGAAATGGAAATAGCACTGACTCTAAATTCAGAGGACTGGGGTTCATATTCCACTTCTGAGGATCACTTACCTCTGTGACCTTGGGGAAGTCATTTAATGTCTTTTGATCTTAATTTCCTCATCTGTAAAATGAGGAATAGGTAGCCTCTGAGGTCCTTTTAGTTTAAGATCTATGATCTTATATTCACTTGGCCAAGTGGCTTTTTAAAAATTCACTGTTTCTATTCAAAATGCCCAAAATTGAGAGATTGACTTTTTGGAAAAACTATTCTGGTTTTTGGCTTAAGAATTTGTTGAAGCAATAGCCTTAATGGAGATCTTAAATGATTACCATTGTCCTTCCTGAATTCCAACCCAAGTAATTATAGAGGGTGTTAGTGAAGTTTTGAGCTTGAATAGCTATATTTGGTTAATTCCAGCTGTATTCCAGTTAATATGGTATTCTTCACTTTCTATCTGAAACCTCCCAAAGCTCTAAACCAGTACATATTTTTGCTGAGGTAAAGCTAGCCTTCAGCAGAAGATGAACTTTGTATATATAGATTGTATATTATTGTGCATTTGACTTGAAAGATACTTTTGGGGGGTACATTAAGAAAATGAATAATTAATCATATTTATTTTTATTTTCAGATTAATATCACGACTTCAACAATGGGTGTGAGAGGTTTACATGGATTTGTGGCAAATGCCTGTCCCAGTGTATGTACAGTAGTAAGTTTGAAAGAAATGGCAGAAGAATACCAAATTCACCAACCTGGGTGCACTCCTGTAATTGTTGTTGATGCCATGTGTTGTCTGAGACATTGGTATACACCAGAATCTTGGGTTTGTGGTGGCCAGTGGCTGGAATACCTTTCTGTCTTAGAAGATTTCATTAAAGCATTTACTACAGCAGGCATCAAATTGGTATTCTTCTTTGATGGTGTGGTAGAGCAGAAAAAGAGACATGAATGGGTGAAACGGAGACTCAGAAACAACAAGGAGATATCTAGAATCTTTCAGTTCATGAAGACCCATAGGAAGCAACCAGGCAGAGATATGTTTTTCATTCCCTCTGGGCTGGCCACATTTACACGTTTTGCTTTAAAATCTCTGGGTCAGGAAACTATTTGTTCATTACAAGAGGCAGACTATGAAGTGGCTTCTTATGGTCTCCAAAATAACTGCCTGGGAATTCTGGGAGAAGATACTGACTATCTCATCTTTAATACATGCCCTTACTTTTCTATTAGTAAGCTCCACCTTGACCGTCTTGTTACTGTTATGTTCTCAAGAGAGAGCCTTTGCCGTAGCCTGGGTCTCAACATAACAGATCTTCCTCTCTTGGCCTGCCTACTGGGCAATGATACAGTTCCAGAAGGCATGTTGGAAAGTTTTCGGCAAAAATGCCTGTCTGGTTATTCCTCTGCTAAACAGAACAACGACAGGAGAACTAACACAATCCTAGCTGTGGCAGACTACATAACTAGAGTACTCCACTTGCAGCAGGGGGTGAAAGACCTGGAAGAGATGTTACCTTTGGGACAAAATAAAACTGTGTTTTGTAGAGGGATGGCATCCTATCTCCTTCCAGGGCAGCAATCTCCCTGGCTTCTCCGGATACCCAACTTGGAAACATCAGACAAGCAAGAAGTAATCATGTGTTCAGACCCAGAGATTTTGCAGGTACTTGGATATACTCACCCAAATTTAATACATGGTGACAAAAAATGTCATTCTAAAAATATTTATTGTATAACTGCCATGTTCAAGGCAATGTTTTGGGTCCTTTAAGGGTGGGAGAGATACACACAAAAGTAAGGTCTGTGCCCTCAAAGACCTTAAAGTTTTGTTAGAAAGATGAGATAAATGCACATGTAATGTTTAATTAAAACTACAGGGTAGTATTTAATAATGCAGAATGGTTTAGAAAATAGTACTTCCATAGAGGCAGCTATCACCTTGGGCTGTTATGGGCAGGAAAATCTTCTTGATGAGATAGGACTTCAACTTTTAGGATGAGTGGATAGGTGGAATTTGAATAGACAGAGGATGGATTCCAGGGAGGGAGTATAGTATGAGTGAAAAGTAAAGAGGCCAAAATTCACTAGACATGTTTGAGGAACAGTGAAGAGAACAATTTAGGTTCCCCAGGGGAATTTTGAGTTCGAATTTTTGTAGGGGAGCTATAAAGATAGGTTGGAAAAGTAGTTTGGGATGAGAGTATATATAGGGTGTTGAAAGTCAGGCTAGATGTTTGGCATTTATTCTGCAGGTAATGGGAAACCTTGAAGGCCCTTGTTGAGAGGAGTTCCTTGAAGAAAGTGATGTTTTCAGAAGATACTGATGTTGTGCTTGGTGGCCTAGGAAGGGAGATACCAGAGGCCAGAAGATGGGATGGAATAAGGTAATAGCTATAGTTCAGATGTGAGGGCCTAAACTGGGATATGGAAGACATTACAGAAGAAGAATTAGAAGGGAATGGTAACTGATTAGGTAACTAGGTGGTGAGAGAAAGGGTCCAGGAGGAATTTAAGTATGCAAGAAAGAAGAAAGGTAGATGAAGCTGTTTGAGAAGGATAATTTGTTTGGTTTTGTCAGGTTTAAGGTGCCAGCAGAATGTCCAGTAGGAACTCTTCGATAAACATTTGAAGATGGAGTACTGGAGGTCAAGAAAGAGGATAGGGCTAGAAATACAAATTTGAGAATTATCTGAATAAAGATTCTTGAGGCTTGTAGAGGTGAATGATACCTCCAAAAAATAGGCTACAGACAGCAGAATAGCAGAGGGTTAAGAACTGAATTTGGAAAATGGTCACATTTAACGGTCAGGAGATAGAAGAGAAAATGATAAAAAGGGTTTTCATGGAGGTAGGGAGCAACCAGAATCATATCATGTAATACCATTAAGGGATTAGAAAGTTTACAGATGAAGGGGATGGCATGTGGTGATAAGAATGAGAGTGAGGTCTGAGGGAGCAAAAACATTGGGTTTGGCAATTAGGAAATCATTGCCGATCTTTGAGGGTGCAGTTTCATTAGCATAGTGGGTTGAAGGTCAGATTGTAGGAAATTAAGAAACAAGGAGGAACTGAGGAAATGCATGCAGTGGGTACAGACCACATATCTAAAATGTTTGGCAGTGGAAGGAAGGAAGTAAACACTTGAGAGGTGGTAGCTGCAAGAGCAAGTGAGAGTTTTGGTTAAGATAGGGAGACGTGTATTTGTTTGTAGGCAGAGGGGAAGAAATGGGTAGAGGGAGTTTGAAGATGGTGGGGGAGAATCAGGGGAGAGACAAGTTCTGTAAGAAGCTGAAGGGGAATGAGACAGAATATAGATGAAAAGATTTTAGAAAAAAAGGCAAAGATATCTTTTCCTCTGAGATAAGATCAGAGAATTGGTATAGAGACAGAAATGTTTTGAGGTAGAGAGGAGGATAAATAAGGGACCTCAATATTAGCAGAATAGGCAACAATTCAATTCAACAAGCATTTATTTATTAGCACACTGTATGTACTGGGTACTGGTATTGCCAGTGGGGATACAAACAAAAATAAAAACATCCCTGTCCTCAAGGAGCTTACTTCCTCCTGTGAGAAACAGCATGGACAAAGATAAGTAAAGACAAAACATACAAAATGCTTTGGTGAGGATGAACCTTGACTACTGGGGTGATCAAGGCCATGTATAGAAGGTGGCATTGAGCATTGGAGTGAGGGATTCCAATAGATGGAGGTGAGGAGGGGAAGCATTCCTAGCTTGGAGTGTACTGTGTACAAAGGCATGGAGGCAGGAGATTGAGTGTTGTATACAGGGAAAAATAGACTCTTTGGGCTGGAATGTAGAGCAGATAAAGAGGAGTAGTGTGAAGTAGTGGAAAGGATGGTAAACAAAGAGTTTATGTTGTATCCTAGATCTAATAGTGACTTGCCCTTAGAACAAAGAAGTGTCTTAGAATCACAGAACTTGAGATCTGGAAGGAGCCCTGATGGCTAGTCCAACACATACCAAAAAAATATCCCCACTAAGAAATGCCGAGCAAGTGTTCAGCCTCTGTTTGAGGGACTCCACGAGGGGCATCTTACTACCACTGGAGAGACAGCCCAAATCTGCTTTTGGACAGCCCTCATTATTAGGAAGGTTTTCCTAATTTCCATTCCAAGTTTGCCTTTTGGCCACTTTTGCCCACTCTCCTGGTGCTGCCCTCTGGGGCAAAAACAGAACCTATCTAATGCCTCTTCCCTGTGACAACAGTCCTTCAGATGCTTTAAGGCAGCTTTCTTGTCCCCTCTAAGTCTTCAACTAAGCCTCATATGAAATGGACTTAAGGCCTTTCACCATTCTTGTCACCCTCTTGGACACTCTCCAGCTAATTAATGTCTTTCTTAAACTGTGGCACCCATGACTGAACATATGTTCAGATCTGTGCTTTAAGGATATTAATTTGCCAGCTTTGTGGATGTTAGAGAGGGGAGGTCCTGGAAGCAGGGAAGCCAATTAAGCTACTGCTTTGGTCAAGGAGAGAGATGATGAGTGCCTGAACTGAGATGTTTGTATGAATGGAGAGAAGGGGTAGGATAGTAAAGATATTGTGGAAGCATAATTGACAGAACTTGATAACTAACTGGATATAAGAGGTGAAGGAGAGGGAAGAATTGGAGATTTAAATCAAAAGATTTGCAATAGGGAGAAGGTATAATAAACTATCACATATTACTTATTCTTGGAGCATTTATTAAAGAGGTACTGTCTCTTTCTCCCTCTTTGACCTTGTTCTTTGCTGGTGTTTCACAGCAAGAATAATTTCAGACCACAGTGAATCTGTAGCTACAAGAACAATGGCCTGCTCTTAGAAGTTGCTTAGCAAAATAAATTATAATGATGATAAAATTCTTCAAAGACTGAAAATGTTTTGGATCTAGATTTATATTACAGATACAATATATATTACAATATATCTTATATATTAGAATATAATACAATATATTGATGAATTGAACACCAACTTTTCCATGCAGTCTGTTAATCAAACAAGAAATAAATGTTCACATTCCTTGCATATAATAAGACTCTAAATATTTGTTGAATTAAGAATTCAACAAAATTACTTCATTTACAATTTAACTGGGGTCTAATTCAGAGGCTATATAAGTTTTCCTAAAACTTTCCCATTGATACCGTAATATAAAAAATTTTGTGTTATTCAACACATAGAGGGGAGGAGGAGATATAAATATCATTAAATAAATCTGCCTTCTGTGATTTCCTACAGAAAAATAATTAGGATCACTCTATTTTAAGTCATTTAGAGCTCATAGTTATATTATTTAGATCACTTTCTGGTACCGTTTTCTTCAGGAAAACTGGGGATAGAGATGAACTAACCCATAAAGATGATGCTGGTGCCTTTATGATGGATTGCTGGTGTTTGTAATCAGTTTTTTTACAGTATATGAAATGTGAACTGGCTATTAAACACAAGATATAACAGCATAGTGCAACTAGCACTAGAGTTAGAAGCAATAAACAAATAAACCTGAGTTTGATGATAGCTCTGAAACTTAATACCTGTGTCCATGGACAAATCAATTAGCGTCTTTGAACCTCACAGCCCTCATCTGTAAAATAAGGAGAGTAAGTACGTTATTATCTCCTAATAGAGTTGTCCTGAGGAAAATCTTTGTCTCTATAAATGTTCATGCAAGTTTGCCCAAGTGTCTCTAAATTTCTGCTATTTGTCATTTCTTACGGCTCAATTATATTCCATTACATTCGTACTCTACGGTTTGAAATGTTATGTCTTTTTTTATCCTTGTTGTTTTTGCATAATAGGTATATATATATATATATATATATATATACATATGTGTGTGTATGTATGTATGTATATATGTGTATATATATATATATATATTTATATTTATATTTATATATTTATTTCCTGCTCTCTGATGTTCCTAGAAGATGTCATCCAATATCAATGAGTCAAAGGATATGGACAGTTTAGTCACTTTTCAAAGTGTAGTTCCAAATTTTTCCAAAATCATCTTCCTCATTTTATAAATGAGAAAACTAAAATTAGAGAAGTTAAGCAATTTTCCCCATGGTTACACAGGTTGAGACTCAGTTTTCATTTTTCTGACTCTTAAGACTGGCACTTTTTCCATTGTGCCATGACATTTAGTGAAGAGGTAATAAATTTTTCACTTGAGATCCTGTCCAGAGAATACATTAACATTCCTGCTTTCCTATCTCCACAAAATCTTATGAAAATAATCCACACATGCCCCAAGGACATCTTTGGTGAGGATATTAGAAGACAAAAGGTAAGATTTTGAAAGAGACATTCCATAGTACCACCATACATTGACTGAAAGAGTTAGAAAATACAAGAACCCTTTTACTTATTTATTCAGGGGAACAAACCACCTCAAAGTCTGCCTTCCAAAAAAGAATCCCTCGTGTATTCCTTGAAAGACAAACAAGATTGGGGAGATGTTTGCTCACCAAAGCTGTTTGACACTGTCAGGGAGGAGATCCACTGCAGTCAAGATTGAAGAAGGATTCCGCATAATTGCTGATGTCCTCCACATGTTGCTGCTTTTGGATAGCATGCTATAACATTAAGCTCTGAAACATTGCAGGGCCTCTTAATGGAGATCCATAATCATTCAAAATCAGCTCAAGTGGTACCTCCTGCAAGAGCCCTTTCCTGATCAGCAAAGATATTAGTGCTCACCCTGCAAAATTTCTTTGAGTCTATTTTATATCTTTTTAATTTACCTAATCTTACACCCTTCAAGATGCAGCTCAAACATTACCTTTCTCTACACCTCTTTTAATTTAATGATTATGTTAAAATATCTGCATCATCAAAATCTGATATACCTAAATTTGAGGACAGGTATGAAAAACATCTTCCTGGATGAGTCGGTCAATAGACATTTTTTAAGCACTGACTGTGATCCAGGTATTGGGGATACAAAGAAAAGTAAAAGATGGTCACTGCCCTCAAGCTCACAGTTCTCAATAGGGAGACAACATGCAAGTAATTATGAACAAGTAAACTATATACAGGATAAATTGGAAATAATCAGTAGAGGAAAAAGGCACTAGAATTAAGAGGAATTGGGAAAAGCCTTCTTTAGAAGGTGGAATTTAAGTAGGATTTGAAGGAAGCCAGGAGGCAGCGATGAGGAAGGGAGAGAATTCTAGTCATGTGGGACAGTCAGTGAAAATGCCCAGTTGAAAAATGTAGGGTCTTGTTTGAGGATTGAAGAAGAATATGTGGTGGAGTGTAAAATGTAAGGAGATTGGGGTGGAGGGACAATTATGAAGAGCTTTGAATACTAAATATGATTTTCTGTTTGATCCTAGAAGTCATAGGAACTACTAGAGTTTATTAGGGGGTAGGGATGGGGTGTTTGGGTGTGGTGACATGATTAGACTTGTACTTTAGGAAGATCAATTTGACAGCTGAATAGAGGGGTGAACTGAAGTGGGAAGGGAGAGCTACTCATGGCTGATAGACCCATCTCAGACTTTTTCAATAGTCTAAGCATGAGGTGATAAGGGCCTATGCCAGGATTCAAGAGATGTTGCCAAGGTGAAATCGACAAGCCTTTGGCAACAGATTGGATATGGAGGTGGGGAGGTAAGAGAAAGAAGAGTTAATGACATCAAGATTGTGATCCTCGGTGTCTAGGAGGATATTAGTGTCCTTGACAATAATAAGGAAATTTGGCAGTAAGGAGCATTTGGGAGGGAAGATGAGTTCAATTTTGTACGTGTCGAATTTAAGATTTGGTTGATTAAAATGAAGTAGAAGACTAACATCCTCTCTTCTCTGCAGCAGCACGAGAGAATATCACATTTCTTGCTATGTTAGCCAGAACTGAAATTTTAGCTGGTGTCCAGCCTATCAAGTAATTATGCTTTTCCAAGAGGAATAATAAAAATGTTTGTCTCTTTTGAAATAATTAAAATGAGGCCAATGAGAAAAGACAAAACAGGAAAACAAATTTTGTAATTGTGCCCTGAAAAGAGAACAACAAACAAAACCTGTTAAAAATTTTTCTGTCTTTTAAATCTGTGTCAAAGTATTTTCCATTTCTTGGTCATCTTCAGTTTGTCAGATTATCAAGTTAACACAATATGATAATGGATTAAAATAACTTTAAAATCTATTTTTACATATTGCTGACCTTCAAATTACTAGTCTCACTTTCTTGCTGTGAAGAAATAGTACCAGTGAATTAGACTTTGCATTTTGTCTAGGCTTAGTAGAGGGAGAATGCACTCAAATGTCCTTATAACTCATCTGCAGCTACCTATCAACTTTAACAGGACCACCATATTATTTTATATAACACAAAAACACCCATTTGTCATTCACAACATTTATAATACTCAAAAATTGCTAGCATTTACATCTTCAGTGCACAAATCAGAGACTTCGAGGCTCTACATTTTGTATAGCAAGCTGTGAACTTATTCCTAATGAAACATGAAAATGCCTGGCAAGGGGTGGTACCTCCTTTATAGGGAATCATCTTTCTAGATTAAAATCTTCATATTGCAGTCAATGAGACCTGAAGATTGAATGATTGATTAGTCTCTTTTGAAGTTCCCAGCTTTTTTCAGGATATCAGGATTATGTCTGACTGATTTTGGGCCACAGATCTATCAAAAAGAGAAATAACTTTGTTTTGTTTTACTTCGAGCAGGTAGCTAAGGAACAACATGTCCAAGCTGAAAGCTACCTGGTCTACAATATCCTTAGCAGTGGAGAAATTGAATGCAGCAACACACTGGAAGATGAATTTGACCCAGAACTCCCTGGCCAAGCACTTATTTTCCGTCCTGCTCGGCAGCATATTTACTCACTCTTGTTGGAAGACAGTAAAGGTAAGACTTGGTAGCACTGCATAATGCTGAAGTCTAAGAAGCTTGCCTGATTTACTCTAGTCCATTCTTTTAGTACATGGAGGCAATTAAATAGGGTTTAATTTTTGGTGAAATCTTTTCACTGATATTATTGCTTACATCTGTATAAAATTTAGGATAAATGCTATAAGGCATTACATATAATTAGTAAGCAATCAAAATTCATTAAAGAGAAGTACATTTTTTCCTATAGTCTGTTACATTTACATCCTTTAAAAGGATATTAATTTTGAAAAACATCAAATCTTTTTTCTCTTCTAAGAGCCCAAGATGTGTTTATTATTAAAGGGACAATATCGTTTTAGTCTCAACTAAAATATTTTTATAAAATAATTTTGCGAAATACTGGCAATTTTTTTTCTTCTCAAGGCCACTTAGAGGAATTGCCTTTTTTTTTTTTTAATTAACAATATCAGAGATGGGATTCTATCCCGGATCTCTCTGGGGTCTCATAGTATTTTCGCTATCTCCACTGCCCCCAGCCCAGCTCCTCTGTATGACCCAGGACAAGTCACTCAGCCTTTTAGCTTCCTGGGTATGAGTCTCCAAGATGGAAAGTTGGAGAGCAAAGGCAGTTCTGCCTTAGTAGAGTGCCTCAAAGACAGTGTCTGTCCCATACCGGTATCATCACAAATCCAGCCAAATTTTTTTTAACAAAATAATGCCTGAAAAAACAAAAAAAAATAATGCCTGCCTCTTTCTGTCTGTCTGTCTCTCTCTGTCTCCATATATATGTACATGTATCTCTCTATATATGCTATATAGAGACACACATATATGTCAGTGAAGATTAAAATATTCTCAATATTTCATATAATTAAATTCCACAATCCTTTGTGATGAATTAAAACCCTGAGAGAGGGAGCTTTTGGTTAATTAATAAACGATTTCTTAATTAGGCCATCCAGCAATCAATAAATTGATGGTCAGTGATTTCTCTCAGTAACCAAAGACCTCAAGGGGACCCTGAAAAACCTTAAATTCCTTCTGAAAGGGAACTCTCCTAACAATGAAAATCAACCCTGATAGTGGACATTTAATGAAGAGATGGGCTAAAAGTCTTCATCTTTTCCTACTGAGAACGTGGCTTGGTCATGAAACTCAGTAGCCTCAAGGTATCTGGGCAGGGAAGCCATTTCCATTCAGACCTCTCGGTCTACTTTTCTCCTTCATGAGCGGGGTTGCCCTTTCCAGCGGTAGGGAACCTGTGGCCTTGAGGCCACATTTGGCCTTCTAAGTCCCTGGGGGCAGCCTTTTGACTGAGTACAAGTTTTACAGAACAAATCTTTTATGAAGGAGATTTTATGAAGTTTGGATTCAGTCCAAGGGCCTCACTTGAGGACCTAGAGGGCCACATGTGGCTGCGAAGCCATAGGTTCTCCACCCCTGTGGGCCTGCACTGTAATGGAAGTAATCAAGGACAGAGGTTCCTCCCTCAGGCAAAGTATCGCCCAAACTAAATAGAAATTAGGTCTTCCAGTTGTTGGGGTCCTATCCAACAAGCATAAGCCTTGAAGTCTAGGAGCAAATCTCATCACTCAGCTATGCCCTTCAAAGATTGACTGACCTTTTCAGGAATTGGGTTTTAACAGAAATGAAAGGAAAAGAGTAGGTCACAAATTAATAATTAGTTATTCATATAATAGTATATTAATTTCTCTCACCTTTCATGTACTAGAAAGGAGAATAAGGAATATCTCCAGGAATGGTGATGGTAAATGTGATGGTAACCACTTATGTTGACTAAGGCCCAATAGCCATAGTTTAAAGGGTGAAGTTAGGGCAAAAGAAGCTCAGAAACACCCTGTGTTTGGAGCCAGCCATACTTCTAGTAACCCGGAATCTACCTCCAATTCAAAGCCTTGGTGCTAATACAGACACTGATTAGTACCACATGGTAAATTTGTGACAGTTGGTTTTTATGTGGAGTGTGGCCTAAGAAACCTGTATTTCAGTATTGAAGAGAGAGTCCTCTATAACAGGGTTTCTTTATCTTTTTTGTGTCAGATCCCTTTAGCAGTGTGGACCATTTCTCAGAGTAGTGCTTGTTGCTTACATCCATAATTGAAGGAAATGCTCAATTTAAGTCAGAGGTTAGTAGAAATAAAGATGTATTTTTTTTCCCACATCCAAATCTACAGAACCCTAAAATCAGTCCCAGGTTAAGAATCCTTCCTCCATAGGATGTGAACTAACAGTTGCTCTTGTTGAAGTGTACCAATATTGTGTAGTACAGATATTATAACCAGAAAAAAAATGTTAGCAAATCGAGAGGTGGTGATGTTAGAAATATCTAAGTATAGTCAACTCTTGAATATCTGTTTATTGGTTTTCTGGAGCCACCTTTTAAATCTTCGCCTTGATTCCTTGTATTACCCAGGTTTCCCAAACACTTTTCCCAATGCCCATGAAATTCAAAGTCTTTTAATGTTTACCCTCACCAAAACATAACAAGGAAAGTAATACTGATCTTTAAAATAATTCATATAATGAAATGCAGAAAATATTTATATTGCTTTTGACTTCTGTTCTTGCAGGTCATCTGTGCCTTCCTGTGCATAATTGAGAATAGACCGTATTAATTAAAAAAATGATGTGATCTTTGTCAAGAAAAATTTCTTATCAGAACATTTCCTTAAATAGAATGAAAATAATAATTTTGATTTAAAATATTTTATGAGGTTAGCTGAGATTTTTTTTACTTTATATTTTTTGTTCTTTGTGAATATAAATTCTTTTGGGGACAGACTTCAGTGTCAGTAGTGTGGGTGCTTCTTCCACTGGTGCATCTCCCAAGTTATTCACACCCTCTCAGCCTCTTTGATTTGAGAATCTATCCTTTTTTGCAAATACTTCATTAAAGGATTCACCCAACTCTATTTTTCCATCCTATTCCATTCTTCTTTGTACTGTGTAGGTTATTACAAGTTCTGAAAGTTTAGGAAAAAACATTTTTTATTAATGTCCTTCCTTTCTAAATTGGCCATTGCCTTCCTAGGTCCTGTTTGGTCCTTCCAGCTCTTAAAGATTCTATAAATTATTCTCTCGTTGCTTTTGACTTCCAGCATACCATGCTTTGAAAATAAATTATTGCTGGTATGAGTTCATAATTGTTGCTTGTTCACATTGTTTCTTAAGTACTCTTTGTTTATACTAAGTCTTAATGTTATAATTACTAATTATATTTGTGAAGAAATGATGTTTTTAGAGAGGTTGTGCTAGAAAGCATGGTGGATTTGGGTTTGTATCCTGCCTCTCATACTTACTAGCTATGTGACTGGGACAGTCCCTTTACTTCACTGGATCTCAGTTTCTTCATCTGCAAAATTGGGCCAATAATGCAAGTAGTACCTTCACCACAGGGTTGCTTTGAAAGTCGTGTAATAATATGTAAAAAATGCTTAGATCATAAAGCATACTAGTTAAATGTCAGATATTTTATTATTATCAATAATAACGGCAACCAACATTTATATTGCATCTTAGTTTACAAAGCCCTTTCAGCATCCTAGTTCAGGGATTCATTACCTCATCCAGACTGTCCCAGTAGCCTTCTAATTGGTCTCTGTGCCTCATCTCCCTTTTTTAGCTCATTCACTCCACCACTGAAAAAATAATTATTGTAAAGCATAGGTTTTTCATTTCATTTTTCTGCTCAGTAAACTCCCGTGACTCTCTATTACATCTAGAATCAAATATATACATTCCCGTATTTGGCACACCCTTTACAACCTGGCCCCGACCTGCCATGATGTTCCATCTTCCATCCTTAGGAGTGCCTGGAATGCACTCCTTCCTTTCCTTTACCTCATAAAATTCCCCATTTCTTGCAAAGCTCAGCTCATACCTCATCTATATGAAGCATCTGGTAACTTCCCTGTCTCAAAAAAATTATCTTGTTTTTATTTTGTGTATATTTTGCTTATATTTATATATATATGTACATGTTGTCTCTGCCAATTGAATGTAAGTTCCTTGAGGGCAAGGACTGCTTCACTTCTCTCTTTGCATCCCCGATGCCTTGCACAGTGCTTAGTATATAGTAGACACTTAATAAATGCTTCTTGATTGATTGTTGACTGATCAAGAGGAAACCAGCTCAGAGATTAAATGCCTTGCCCAAGGTCACAAAGCCAGTAAGTAGCAGAGGTGGAATCCAGAACCCTGATGCTCCTTCCACTCAACTTCATTCATCTATAGAAACTGGAAAACAGACACTTGACAGCATTGAAGGGAAAATGACTTATACATAAAATAGATTTACTGGAAAAAATAGCATTGCAGAGCATAATATTATAGTCAATTATAACCTGGGTACTTTTTGTTTACTTCTTTGTATGCCAAAGATTTCATCACCTAAAGGGGAGGGCTCACTGTTCAAGAAATTTCTTTTTTTCAGCTGATTGAGGAACAAGAAAAGAGGAGTCTATGCAAATATTTTTTTTTTCAGTTTATTCCTGGCATAACATAAGCCCTTAAGCAATGCTTTTTTTAATTCATTCATTCATTTTTATATTTTTTACATTTTCTTTTCATAACACATTTCTCCCCTTTTAAATGCCTCAGCAGAAAATAATCTTTTGTGAGTTAAAACTTTAAAGAGTATCATATGTGTGTTTATGGGAAATCTGGAAATAATTGAGATGTGAAAACAAAAGGCTTCGATAAAACTCTAGAAACCACTCTTGTCTTTCAGAATATTGTTTTAGATTTTGTTTCCAGTAAACAGGCATACCTTTTCTTAAGCAAATCCAAAAGATGGAAATACTGATTTGGTTTTAAAAAAAAAACGAAACTAAGAAGTTATTTTTCTATTTGCAGAATTTGACTCCAAAAAACTCACAATATTATTATTTGTAATAATAAGTTCTCCTGATACATTTAAAATATTATTTGATGTATATTCAAGGGAGGCATACCTCCAAGGGTATAACTCTAACCTGGGTTGGAAAAAAGAGCTT